AAAATAATAAAAAAGCTATACTTATTCTTTATATTTTCATTCCATCGCCCCATTCCTGTCTATGACTATTGGCTAAGGGTAAAGAACTGTACTATACAATGGAAAGGCTTGTTTTAATAGTTTCAAGGTCTGTTAACTTGTACTTTGACATTATACATGTTTGATATAGGAAACTTTATTTGCTAAGATGGTAGAAACTGTGTTTGCCCACATCAACTGTAACTGCTGCCTGTGCTGGGAGTTTGACGTAAGTTCCACTCTTGGTTGTAATAACTCCCTCTCACTGGACTTGGCTGACTCAGCTAAGTCACTCGCCTGGAATGGACGAGGTGTGGCTTCACTTCTTAGACTAAGAGCATCAAGATCCTTTTTATCATGGCTTTTCCGATTGGGGCAGAATAAACATGGGATCCAATTCATCTCGTTTTTAAAAGTCATGTAAGTTGAAAAGGAATCTTCCAACAACAGGGACCATGTGTCATTGTTGTGTCTTCTATAGCACCTGGCTCAGACTTTTCAACATGTGACATGATCTGCACTCACTTAGGGCTAAATTTCATTGATACCAAAATGGCACAGAGAGTTTTCACTTCTTCACTAGGTTTGGAAATATTTGTTCCAGATGGATCTACTCTTAGGTACACTGAGTGTCCTCTGAAACAATATCTGATCTTTTGGTTGCAGGTGACCAAAAAATAAAATAAAATAAAATAAAATAACTCAAGCAAGTTTAAGCACAAAAAGTGCTTCAGGTAATGGAGAAGGTCTTAGTCATAGCTGAAATCAGAGGCTCAAAAATATCATCAGGACTGTCTCCCCCCACCCCCCAGCCTTTTTTTTCTGTGCTGGCTTCAGACTCGCTCCCTATCAACTAGCAATTGTATGCTTACATCCATTCCACTCACAACCCAAAAGAAAGACAGACCCTCTATCAAATCTTAAAGAAGACTCTGGCTGACTCTGCTGGGCCACATGTCTCTTCCAGGGCAGGGAAGCAAGGCATCATGATGGACAGAAACCCAAGGAGAAGGGGAGGGAGTCCCCCAAAGGAAAGGATGTTATACAAGTAAATGTTGAAGTCTACTCAATAATTCAAGGTCTGAAATTCTAAGCCCCCTTTTCCCATTCTTGTGCATGATGGAAAGCAAACTATAGTTTAGCTGACTTCCAAGGTGACTACAGCTATACAATACACCCTCACTTGTTACAGAGAAATTATATTTCCTGGACCTATCATATGACTACCACAGTGTCAGGCATTTCCTATTCATTAGCTTATTTCATTTTCACAGTAAATAGATATTTAAGATGAAGGTACAGAAGCTTCGAGAAGTTACAAAGTAAATATTATAACCAAAGAAAACCCCAGAATCCCTTGCTTTTAGCACTGAAAATGTGGGACTCTTTTTAGTTTCTTTACTAAAAGTATCTGAAGTTTATGGATAAAAGCTCAAAAACCTACATATTAGACAGGACCAACCTAATTAAGCAGAAATCAATTATCTACAGGAAGTGATTTATCAGATGCCCTGAAAGACTTTTACTCTTTGCCTGAAATTCCTCCCTCAGAGATTATTTTGGGCTAAGTCATTGTCATTGATTAATTTATTTTGTTATTTTACTGCAAATATTTCCTAAGAGCACATGGGCTAATTAAGTCTTATTAAACGCCAAATGACTGAGAAAGGGGTAACATATGAATTTTTAAATATTAACCCAAACCTTTATAACACATGATTTACCGCTCCTTTTTTTTTACTTGGTCCCCAGAGATAAGACACAGGCCAGGTCACATCACTTTGCTTGGGAAGGTGTCAGGGTAGAGTTTACAGCAGCCAGTGACTACACTAGGGGCTGGGGAAAAGTCTACAACCTTCATGCTCCGGATGAGAATTACTCGGCATTGGATCACAGAATCCAGGCAAACTCTAAGAAGCTCTGAGAACAACAAAAGGAAAGGCAGTTACCATGAAGCCTATGAAGAAATAAAAGGAACCAGAGAGGTAAGATAGAAGAGTAACCATGAGCACTTGCTCTAATGTCCCTACACTTAATTTTAGCATTATAAACCTCTTGGGTGTGCATTAGTTAATAAAGGAAAAGCCTAATTTTCAGTGACGATGGTTAAATGTTCCATCGCACAACATTACTGCTGCTGCCACAAGGTTACCCACAGAATTTGGATGCACATGCAGCCTCAAGTTAAACCCTGCCAAGGCTCTGAGCCTTCATAAAGGGGCGGCACATAGTGAGTGGCCTGTTCAGCCTCCTGCCAGTTCAGGGCTGCCCTGCACTCCTGGAGGACTGTAACTGACAACTGCCCCAAACTACTAGCTTTCAGCCACTTCCCCTCTTAAATGGACATTGGGAGCAACATTTTCCCCAAGGATCCTGGCCTTGTACCTGGCTCACAGTAAGCATTCAGAACATTTAAAATAAGAGGAGGAGGTCTTCAGGCCATCCTAGAGGAGGAAGAAGAGAAGGAAGAGCAATAGAAAGAAGCCCGGCCACTGTGGGTCAGTGGTTGAGCTTGGATGTCACAGTTCAATTCCCAGTCAGGGCACATGCCTGAGCTATGGGCTCAATCCCCAGTGTGGGGCATCCAAGAGGCAGCAGATCGGTGATTTCTCTCTCATCGTTGATGTTTCTATCTCTCTTCCCTTCTTCTCTGAAATTAATAAAATATTTTTTAAAAGAGCAATAGAAAAAAGAAAAACCTGCATCATGTCTATATTTATGTGCTAGACTCTTAACTCTAAGGGCAAATGGGAGGAAATGAATAAACTTTTAAGATCATGGTGATTTGACCACCACTTCTTTAATATGAGGTACTGAGCTGAGAGGTGTTAGCCACATGCCCAGTGTCAGATAGGACATGAGAGCTGACTGGGTTTGTCATCCAGGTCTCGGAACTCCCAGCCCAGTAAAAACTGGATGCCGAGGGATGCGCCATATGGTTTTGACAGGCAGCTGCAGAGCAGGAATCATGCTGCATCCCCTGTGTACAAACACATTTCTGCACACAAGGAAAAAATGAATGGTGTCCCTGATGGGAGGTTCCCTATCACACGTTTTCCTGGGGCCTGAGCAATAGTGTCTAAGTGAGAACCTGTTAAAATGTTTCCCTGGTACATTCAGTAGCAGAAGTTCTTTATAGATTACCACAGTCACCAGAGTCATTCCAAAAATTCTGGCCTCTAATAGGCTGATTTATACTGAAAGTTCTCTCATACCATGACAGGAAATGGGTATTGTTCTCTTCATGAATGGACATATAGAACATGCCTCCTCTGGGTAAGACACTATGTTAGGATCTGAAAGAAATGTAGACAGCATGGGTATTGTATATGTGGGACTTGGAATCCATGTCATGCGACAGAGCACTCATGTGAAAGATAACTCAAAATCAGTGTTTTTAATTTTTTGTTTATTGATTTTAGAGAGAGAGGAAAAGGGGCGGGAGGGAGGGCACGAGGGGGAGAGAGAGAGAGAGAGAGAGAGAGAGAGAGAGAGAGAGAGAGAGAGAGAGAGAGAGAGAGAAAGGAAAGAGAGAAACATCAATTTGTTGTCCCACTTATTTATGCATTCATTGGTTGCTTCTTATATATGTCCTGACCAAAGATCAAACCTGCAACCTTAGCACATTGGGAGGATGCTCTAACCAACTGAGCTACCCAGCCAGGCTGCAAAGTCAGTGTTCGTAAGTGCAAATCAGAAGAGCAAAGTATAAGGGTATGGACTTACAGGAAGCCTTCTAGAGAACTGGAAAACCTAAACATAGAGTTCCTTCAGTATAGCTGAACATGGTAATTAAGGTTCAAAAATTAAAGTATTCTCAGACACAAAATTAGCACTGCTTATCTCAGTTTAAATGTTTGTGCTATACCATCAGATTTCAAATCATCAGAAACAAACCATCTTGAGATTCGATTCATTTATGAAATAGATGCTATTAACGGTCCTAGTAGCATGCCACGTAAAAAGACTGTATTTGAATGTATTTCATATGTAAAAGTAAAATATCCAATTAAAATGTGTTATTCAAATACATACTGTTTCCATTTTATTTTCAGCATCACAGAACAGCAGGCTACGGAGTAACTGAGCTGTCACTGGTTGTTACCTTCTTCCTGACAACCCTAGGAGTGGCTTCTCGCCCTATGCTCGGATAGGTTCAGTGGCCGGACACTGACTGTCTCACGAGGCAGTAAGGTTCATGTTCAGACATTCACCTATTTCACCCGACATAAAAGCAATTTACTTCAAAATGAGAACATTTGCAGCAGGTAAAGAGCAATGTTTGCTAATTCGTTAAAGAGATGTCTCCTCAGTGATTAAGTTCTCTTGGGAGGTGTACTTAGTAAGATTGATAAGCTGCAGTGGTCAGTAAGCCTGCGCAACAACATTCCTGCTCAGGGTCAGTTCCTTCAGGAAGTACACTGTGGGAAATCAGGTAATTTAGAGAAACAAGGGCTATAAAAGAACATAGCAAAAACTCACACTGCAGATCATCGACAACATTTGTGAATCCTACAATATGTGCAGGATAAAAAAAAAATTGTGTTAAGTATGTTCCTATATAGCAATAAAGAGCTTAATCTTCCAAGAAACATATATTTATTATCAGGGTAGTCAACATACTGTGGCCAAGAAGCGTACAGTTTGAGAAAAACGTCCAATGGATTTACACAAAAGGGTCTAGCTGTTTTGTGCTGCATGAACTGAAAAGTAAGCCACGGTGACTTCTGCTGTATTTGACTACTCACCCCATTATGAAGATTTCTGACTATGCATACCGTTAACTTTCTACATGAATTTAGGCCCCTAGTTGATTAAAAATAATTTTGTATATTATCAATAGATTAAAACAGTAGCACCAATGAATCAAATGATTGATTTGACGGATGAACCAATCAAATGATTTCTATCTACCACCACCACCAAGGGCCATAGCAGAATAAAGCAGCAGCGGGGAGGGAGTGGGGTCACGTGATCCTTACCACTTGGCCAGCTGGACACATCCCTTTTGTAGCTCTGCAGGACTGTGGAGGACTCGCCTGTGTTTTGAGAATGACATCCACAAATTTAAACTTTTACCACAAACTCATTTTTTAATTCTCTATAATTTGAAGGCTCATGACCCTTTCCGGCAGAATTGGAAGGGTGTAGCCCTTGGCATTTTTGTGCTCTGTCCCTAGTAGGTCCTGACTGAGCATGTGGCTCAGAGCAGGCTAATGAGGCTACTGGGTGGGGACACAAAGGTGAATGAGGCCCAAGAGGTTACTGTACATCCAGTAGCAAGATCAGAAATCTGCTGGGACCTCCCAAATGTCTACGGACTCTTGAACATGTCATCAACACAACTGACAAACTGGATATCTGCCATTATGCTAATTTACATGTTTCTTGAGATATGTTGGCTAATGAATCCTCTACCACTTTTTTCAAGTCCCCTTCATGAGTACTTTGAGAACAGCATGACCAGCAACATGGCAGTGCCTGGCAGAGAAGCCTCTCTTGAGACCATCCCATAGCAGAGAAATGAAAGACGGCATCAGAAAACAGCTGACAGGGTGTGTGGATGGGGTGTGGAGCAGGTTAGGAGGAGGAAGATGGTGAAGTAATGACAGATGACGGGGAGAGAACAGATAGGATCAGGGACCAATGGGTGGGGGGTGACAGGAAAGGGGGTCAACATGCATTGATTTCTAACCATAATTTGCACTTCTGGGCTAGAACTTCACTTCAGACAGTATCCTGTCTTCATTTTCTTTTTAAAATTTTGGACCTTGAGAAAGCAAACCCAAAGAGCAGTAGACACCACTTCCTGTCGACCAGGAGTAGGAAGCACCGTGTGTAAAACTGAAGGCTGCACTCCTGTGATCCCAAAGAAGACAGAGGAGAGCACACACCTCATTGAGGTGGAACGTGATTTCAGTGAGAGCCAAGAAGGCTGCTGACAGCGGAGAAGAGGAACAATAGGGGGAAAGCAGAAGTTCTCAGTGGAAGGCTGGAGCAGTGAACAGGAAGTGGAGAAGGGTGAGAAGGAACTCCCTGTCTTCCATCTGCCCAGCCCGTGGCTTTCAGGTAGACATATTCCCTAGGGGAGGACTCCGTCAGCCCGAACCCTCAGGAACCGTAAGTCAATCATTCTGACAGATCTCCAAGAAGTTTCACTGTTAGGGAATGAGCCACCCTTTTGTAAAGTCATCTCGGGTTTTAAGATCAGGGTCATCACATACTGAACAGTATCCTTTTCACAGGCAAGATTCAGAGCACCGCTATTAGCTCTTGCTAATAATCAGATGCTCCAAAGTCTGCAAAATATATTCTGAGCACTCCCAGAAGATCTCAGGCAAAAACTGGTTTGCCGGTATTTCCCAAGTGACTCGGTATAGCTCATGGATTAAGTGTTGTTAAAGCTATCCCTGGTTTGCTTCCTGAAGAACAAGCAGCAGGAAATCTAAGCCAGATGTGGACTCGGAGCACCTGAACCAGATGTCTCGAGTTTCTGTATGTAGACCTATTTAATGTATTCAAATAAAGCACCGCCGTGACAGAGATGTGGCTGCAGATTTAATAAGTACTGTAAACATTTTATGGAAAAAGAAGTAAGAATTCAATATTTTGGGGCAACTCATGCAAGGCAAATTCTACACACCAATTAAAATGCCAGTACTGTATTTAACAAAGCTAACATGTAAGGGAGTAACATAAGCCAGTGAGGAGAAAAATGTCAGTGCAAATGTTACCACTTTAAGTTCTGCTTCTGGGCCATCAGCAAATGAGGAAATCCTCCTGGCATTCCTTTAAAAATACTCATTGAGGTTTTTGCTGGAAGCAAAGGGCATTGTTGTTTGGAGTGGTCCCACAGTTACACGTGAAAAAGCAGGGGCTACAGGAAAACGTCTGCAAGTGGGTAATAGATGTCACTTTAGAGCCAGTTTACTTCTCTGCATGTTATCATTGATCATTGCTCTCAAAAAATCCCAATTTCAGACAGCACAAGGAAGTCTGGTTGTACAATACATCCGATGGTAGACAGTGATGGAAAGAATCTGAAAACTAAACTCTGACTCCAGACAGTGTGATAAAAACGAGCTCTAAGATTACTAACACATAAATATCAAAAATGAGTTTTCAGTATTTTACATCTCACCGAGCCTAGCTATTGAGTCGGTGTACTTCTACAGTTAATTATTAACTCCACACCCTCCAATCCTTTTAAGAAAACCACAGGAACGATCACAGCTGATTATTCTATCTTTCACACAAAAAACAACCAAAACTCCCCCTAGAAGACAGCCACGCAAAATAGCCAAGCACTTAGGATTCTGCACCGCACACACCACACTTACTGATTTTTTCCTCATCCCTGGAGAAAGGGAAGCAGCAGAGCTGGCCCATGGCACTGGTGCCGTCTCTCCTTCCTGGTGCTCTTCCCCCCGGGCACCCCAAATAGAAAATGCAGTTTGCACCGGGGCTGTGAGCACACCCTGCCTATTCCACTCGGAGGAGCAGTGCACGGAGCAGGCGTGCAGAGCCAATGCACAGCCAATGCACAGCCGGGAGGGAGAGGGGAACTGGCTGCAGTGAGCAAAAAGGCTCCACCTCCCCGTCCTCAGCCCAACGCGCTGCTCTGCTGCTCCAGGACCAGCACTGGGGGAAGAAATGACCTCCTGCTTTACTAAGCCTCACAGAGCTGTGAGCTCTGGCCTCAGGCAAGCACCACAAGTGCCTTTCCGACCTCCAGAGGGGTCTGTAAGCAAGGTAAGCAAGAACAGACCACTATGAGTCCTGCTGCCACAGACAAATATAATAACCACACAGGAAAAGTCAAAGGAAAATCGTTTTCTGTCTGCCGCTTAATTAAGAGGAAGAGCTTCCTTTCCCCCTGCCCCCCAGGAGATTTGAGTTAGTTTGTTTTATGAATAGGGAACTTGACATTGCAGAACACTAACAACACGGCTTGTATGAAGTACCATTAACTACTTAACAAACGGCACAAACAGTAGAGAGGGCAGGGAAAGTGGGAGGAAGGGGAGTGTGGATTGTTATCTGCGCTTTACAGCACACCTTTTAAAGTTAATGCCTGCTTTCTGAATCACTGCTTTGTTCCCCTGTTGCAGCATTAATCAGTATTATGAATTCTGAAATGATATCATCAACTATGTCAATAGCCCGGAAAATTCCTCAAATGGAGACCTTGAGTAAAAGATCAGGAGTAAGAGCATATTTCTGTTTTAAATGGCAAGTTGGTTAAGCAAATTCAGGGGCAGCAAAACAACTTCAAGGCAGGACATATTTTGAGCTTCATGACATGAGATCATTATCGCATGCAATTGTTTAAAATTTGTTTATCAGTATAGAGAACAGCCTTACTCTGTGACTGTAAGGGTAAAGACTGCTCTGAGTGTGAGAGGTGCCATCCAAACTCTTCCTTTTCTCCTCTCCTTCCCAGCGAGGCAAATACACACTATTTACCAGGAAAGAGTTGGAAGGAGGGGACATGGATGATAATGAAAACTTCCAAGTTCTGAATGCAGTATGTCTACTTTTATACCCACCTGAACAAAAAGAGTGCACAGCCTAAAAAAATAAAAAATGTCATTTTTAAAAATCCTAAACATGACTTTTCGTGTCAAAGGAAGAAAAATATCTGCAGGAAATACTCTTCATTGAAGAAAATGAGTCACGCCTGGCATTCCCCAGTCACTAACATTGGTGCAGTATACAGTCGTTAGAAAGCCAGAGGTTTAATTCCCAAATCTGTCAGTTAGGAAACTGTGACCTCTTTGCCAAAGTTTTGAAATCTTCAACTGTAAATCAGATAAATTCATTATAAGGTTTCAGTGTGTTGTTGCAAAGTAGGAAGTGCTTGGGAGGAGGGGGAGAGACTGGGACAGATGGTCTGAATTCTGTGTCTCCATGCACCTCCGTGTTTTCAGTCCCCGCTAGCAATCACGTCTTCTCCTCTTCTAATTCCCTGCCCATTTCCAGCTAAGTTACTGCTTCTGCTGCATAAGTGGCCCACCTCCAAGCAAGAAGGGCTCTCACCCAAATGCAGTGCTCAGGAATTAATGATATTAATTAATGGTATTAAGGAAATACCATTTGGTGACAAACCCTACCAACTTTATTAATTAGCCCTGGTTAGCACTACTTCTGAAAATGTGCAATTAAGAACAAAATATATAAAATCGGTCATTAGGTAATGGTATCTCCCTCAGGATATTGTGCAATCTAAGGGGGATGAGAGCTATCTAATGTTAAAGAGTTTTTTCATAACTATTAAACATGAATTAACAATAATAAAAGATTAGAAAATAATTGAGAAATTCAAGACAGAATTTTTAAAACTGGCTTTTAGGATATATGCACCCCAATGTTCATAGCAGCACAATTTACCATAGCTAAGATTTGGAAACAGCCTAAGTTCCCATCAGCAGATAAAAAAGAAAAAGAAAAAAGAATTCTTACCATTTGCAACAGCATGGATGGATCTGGAGGGTATTATGCTAAGTGAAATAAGCCAGCCAGAGAAAGATATGTATCACATGATCTCACATATATGTGGAATCTTATGAACCAATAAACTAGACCCAGAGACACAGAAGCAAGAACAGATTGTTGAATCTCAGAGGGAAGACAAGGGAGGATAGGTGGGAAGAGATCAACCAATGAACTTAAATGCATATGTGCATACCCATGGACACAGATAATGGGGTGGTAAAGGCCTGGGATGGGGGAAGGGAGCAGGCTGGAAGAGATTAATGGGGAGGGGGAGAAGACTTATGTAACAATATCAACAATACAGATTTAAAAATAACACCTGGATTTTAGTTGTGCAAATAGTTAGCATCATTTAAATAAATAAATAAACTTTAAATTAAAAATAACTGTAGAATTACTAGTATGTGCCTGTATTTTTCAGTTTAGAAATAAAACATATTAGAAAGGGGGATGAAACAAGCAAATAACCCAAGCTCCAAAAGAAGTCCTTTACCCACCCACAGTGGCCACTTCTAAATCTGATGCATTCCTGCTTGACGCCAAT